CCAAGGAATAGTATGCAGCCACCAACAAAAGCAAGGCAAAGCAGGTGTTCTCAGGCACAAACACCTCCAAGGTTGGGGCTGGGGATTTAGCTCAGCGGCACAGCGCCTGCCCGGCAAGTGCAAGGCCTGCCCGGCAAGTGCAAGGTCGTGAGTTCAATTCTTGGTACGGGGCAAAAAAACAAAACAAAAACACCTCCAAGACCTATTTTTCAGGGCTAAATGAAGGCATTACCCAGAGATCAGTGTAGGCTGCCACTTGCATAAAATATGTAGGAAATGAAAAGGGAAAGAATAAATGTTTCCTTGTACAGTGGGATTGGTTCTGGAAACACTGGCTCCCTGTGGAGACTGAAACCCGAGGATGTTCAAGTCCTTCTATAAAATGGGCACACAGTTTCCAAATAATCTACATGCACCCTTCTCAGGGGGTGAGAAGGCTGACTTCCACTGAACACACCCTTTGCTGTGTGAGGGTCTCTGCCATGTGCATTTAAGCCCTTTACAAAAGACATTTTACTAAGAAAAAGGCAAGGGGTGATTTGGAATCACTTTTACGAAAGCTCTATGTCAATGAAATATACAGAAATTTTTGTAATATAATAATACTATAATATATAATGTACGTAATATGTAGAATACAAATATGAACTCCATGTATAAAATAAAATTTTATAGGAGGCAGATTAAGAATGTAAAAAGAAGCTAAGCATGATGGTACATCTATGTAATTGTGGCACTCTGGGAGGCTGAGGCAGGAGGATTCAAGTTCAAGCCCAGCCTGGGCAACTTAAGTGACTGGGAGAGACCCTGTTTTAAAATTAAAAAAAAAAGTCTAAGATGTAGCTTAATGTGAAGGCCGTGGTTCAATCCATAGTACTGGGGGGAAAAAAGGTGAAATGAGAAAAATGTATAGTTTGAATAATATATTTTCTTTAACTCCAAATATCATTTCAATAGGTAACCACAAGAAAGTTACTAGTGAGATAGTTTCTATTCTTCTTTTGAAGTGTGGGCTGCGTTTTACAATCAGAGCATGTCCTCCTTCAGATCAATACCTCAAAAAAGCTGCTACTAAAGAAAGGAGAGGATAGGAAAGGAAAGAAAAGGAAAGGGAAGGGGAAGAGAGGGAAGGGAGGAGGAGACGGGAGGGGAACAGCTAGCTCCAGTGGTTCACACCTGCAATCTTAGCACTGGAAAGGCTGGACAGGAGGATCATGGGAAGTTCGAGGCCAGCCTGGCTACATAGTGAGACTCTGTCTCAAAACAAAATGAAAAAAGGAAAGATGGTGTTTCTCTGCAGGACCGCACTTGCTGAACACAGGATAATTGCATTTACACTTTTGGGTCAGCAACTGGGAAGGTAAAGCCCAAGGAGTGGTTAAGTGCTCAGGGTCCAATAGGACACTGTTTACCCATTTCACCCTAAGTTAATTTGTCTTTCTTTACCCTAACTTCCCCTCTGCCCCAGTTTCCTCACTTCCGCTTTCAGAATGTGGTTAAACGTTAGGTATTTTCATAAGCTGCGTTAAGCACTTTTGGAATAGGGCCAGGCGTGTAGTTACAGAGAGACCTGCGAAAACTCACAGTAAGTTGGAGTGTTTGATGACAACATAAAGACCCTCTGAGAGGTTCCTGAGAGTTAATTTCTGTGGTGAAATGGTCTCAGACAGGGGCTGATTTGACCTGAAGAAGAAAGGGTTGAGGGGGGCTCCCTTGGGTCACCCGGAGACACCTTCAAATACACCTGGAGAGGTTGTAAAGGGAAACAGTGCCAAGCGAGAGGGCTCTGGCTAGTCCTGGTGACACAGAGGAGGAAGAGGAGGAGGAGTCATCATGTGCAGCCCCTAAGGTCTAGGGAGAGACATACATATATATATATATATATATTTGGTAGTAGGAATCGAACTCAGGACCTTGTGTTTGCCAGGCAGGCGCTGTGTTGCTAAGCTATATCCTCAGCTCATACTTTGAGACTCGTATTTTTTTTTTTTTTTTTTTTTTTTTTCTTCTGGTACCAGGAATTGAACTCAAGACCTTGCGCTTACCAGGCAAGTGCTTTGCCGCTGAGCTAAATCCCCAGCCCCGAGACTCGTATTTTGGGCCGGCCGCCGGACCTCAGTGCAGTGGTGGGAAGTGAAAGCCTTGTGCCCACACTGCCAGCTGTATCTCCCAGTACCTCCCAGGGCAAAGCAGTGACCTACTCACCTTGGCCAGGAGCCGGCTGGCCTGAGAAGCCAGCGTGTGGGTCCACTCTGCGGAGGGCTGGACGGTGGCAATGCCCTGGCTCTCTGGAAGCCACCCTGGGGTGGGCATGTTGGGGTGTGAGGAGGGGCTCAGTTCTCCTTGGGCCGTGGGCCACCCTGGAAGACACAGGTGTCGAGGATGAGGATAGTCCTCCCAGGACCGACAAACTGAAAGCTCAGAACCCCCACGTCTATCCTCAGGTTACAGCTCAGCCGTCTTCACACTGGCCCCAGGGATAGGGCTGGGCAGGGTGAGAACCAGGTCCCAAGCTGGGAGGAATAGAGCCATGCGGGCCTTGGGGTTCCCAGTAGTAGCGTGGCCTCTAACTCGGGGACGAGTGGGGCCTGGTCCCAACCCTTCCCTTCATTACTGTGTGACCTTCAGCCTTGGTCTCTTAATGGTCACAGGGTGACAACAGTGCGTCCCTCACCAGGTCGGTGCAGGGTTAAACTGAGACCACATCACAGGTGTCACACGGACTGCAGGGGCTGGCTGCAGTCACCGCTCCCCACTCCCAACGTTTCCAAGATGCCCAGTGGCAGAGTCAGGGCCCAACTGGGTGCCCTGGCCACACACAAGGCCCTTTTCCCATTGCTTGACTTCTTTATGTCACAAGGCCCAGATAGCAGCCTGTGTTTTCCCTGGCCCAGGGTGACCGAGGCTCCCTGAGATGAGTGACAGGAGGAACTTCCTTCCCAGACTCACCTGCGGCCTCCGAGGCTTGGGGCTGCTTGGCGGGGCTGGGCCTCCACTCTGCTGAGCGGGGCTGGGGGATGGTGAAGGACAAGACCTTGGTCCCCTGGGGCACCGTCCCCATGTGGGTGCTGTGGCTAGGCTGGGGCGGGTCCGAGTACAGGTGGATCTGTGGAAGAGGGAGGCGGGCAGAGCCACGTCAGGGTGGCCTCACTTCATCACACCCCGGGGTCAGTAGCTCAGCAGCCACTCTTCCCAGTGACAGATTCCACCCTGTGGTAGAGCCCTTGGGTGGCACCGGGCACCAGGTGAAGGGCTTCCGGGTCCTTTTGCTTTCTCTTTATGGCTATCTTGAAAGGGAGCAGTGCAGGGACCAACAGCCCTATCTTTAAGAAGGGAAAACAAAAACTCAGAGAGGTTACGACACTGAATAAGAATCTCCAGCTGATAAGTGTTTGGATTATGATTACAACACTTCTCTACCTGACCCCAAAGCAGACTGTTTTTCCACTATTTACAACTGTGATATATAGTATTTATTATGGTGTAACCATACTATTGTATAATATATAGCAAACAAGAATTACTATTTCTTAATAAAAAATAAAATATTTCCAATAAGAATTATTATACTGATAATAAATAGCAACGAATGCCAGTCTGAATGAATGAATAAATGAGTGAATGAATGAATCGCTGTCTGGTTGAATGAATGAATGAATGAATCAATGAGTCACCAAGTGAAAAAAATGAGTCCCCCTGGTTGTGGTTCCATCATCTGAGGATGGGTTGAACAGAGCAAGCAGCAGGTTTGCGAGAGAGAAGTCTGGAGCGAGGCAGGAAGCCTGGTGAGCGGCAGGAGCTCACGTTCCCTACACAGGTCGAGCACAGAGGCTGGAACTGTGGTCCGCTCTTGTACACAGCGTGTCACTGGACACAGCCGCACCTGTTTGTCCAGGTGTTATCTGCAGCTGCTTTTGCTCCAGAGCAGCAGAGCCAAGGAGCTGCGACAGAGACCAGAGGGACCACAAAGCTGCAAAGACTCCATCTGGCCGTGTATGGAGTTTGCCAGGCCTGGTGTAGCGGTGGGGCCCGCAGTCAGGGCTCGGCTTCCCGCCTTGGTTCTACCGCCACACACCTGAGTCCTAGAGCAGCTCACGTAGCTAGTACTTCCGGCCAGAGGTAAGTGCTCAATCAAGAGCAGTCACCATCTTCACATTCATTGTCACTGCCACCATCACCACATCCCTATCATTATATCACCATCACCATTAATTATATCACCATCGCCACCATGCACAACACCATCATTACCATCATCATAACAATTATCATTTCTGTGGATACTCCGGAGGCAGCTCCAAGGAAAAGCCTCACTCCAGGGGTGACTTGGTGCCTTGTTATGATGTCAGGGAGGTTATGCTGTCTGCCCCTGCAGCCCCAAGCTCGGGACCAGGCAGCAAAGGATGGGCTGGCCGAGGGACTCCCGGGAGCCCAGCAAGCAGCCTCTCCTGTCTACACTGTCCTTCAGGACCCAGCTGTGGCAGAAACACCTACTCCACGTGTGACTTGGCCCCGCTGCCTCCTCCTCCTGCTGCTGAACCTCACCAGAGGAGAACAAAGCTGGATTTGAATAATCCCTTCGGCCATCTGCTCAGACCCGCCTGTGGGAGGCTGTCCAGTAGCACCCCGCTCTGCCCCAGGTGACCCAAATCCCAGGGGACGGCCCTCCTCTCTCTGGCCCAGGCCCCACCTGGGCAGCAGCTGGGAAAATGGAAGCAGGTGGGGATGGGCTCCGGAGGGCAGAGGCCCTTCCCTCTGCTTCAGGATCAAAGAGGAGCTTGAAACAGAGAGGCCCAAGGCCTAGGCACATGCCCAGAGCAACGGGAAATAGCCGAGGGTGGCAACTGCTGAACTGCGCAGGCCTGTTCCTCTCTGGACACAGCTGGCCCCACCCCTGGTTTCCAGGCGTCCACAGCAGTGTCCCGCGCAGGACTGGCTCCCTAGGGGATTCTGGGCAGGCGGGAGCAGGGGAACATTGGGTTAAACAAATGAGTATTCTCTGCGCAGATGGCCTTCTCACATCCTTTAAAATGCTAATGGGCTTATGAATGGGGCAGGAGGGGAGGAGGAGAGGAGGGAGTATATCCTCCACTTACAACACCACACTACACTGCACCGCACCACACCGCACCACACCACAACACAGAAGCCTGCCCCAGCCCCACCTGGGCTTCTGGACCCAGTGGGGCAGTCAGAACACACTTTGGGAAAGGCGGTCTTGTGTCACCCCCCTAATTCCTTCTGGGCTGATTGCTGGTCACCTCAGTCCTTCCACAGCCCCCGGTAGCTCAGAGGAAGAACACGGGTGGGGGGGTGGGCAGTGACAGGCCAGTGAATGCGGTGACATCACCATAAACTGCCCAGAGGCCTACATGGAGACCAGAGCCCACCAGCGACCCCTGACTGGCGGGATCCCTGCTCTGTGCCTCTCACCCCCAGGGGCTCCCTGGTCCAGCCCTAGGTTCCCACCTGGGTCCACTGTACTCCCAGGCAGGACCTTGGTCAGCGTTCTGGCTGCAGATCCTGCAGGTATTTAGTGTGGTTCCTGCAGTGCGCTGTGGAGAGGGCGCCCCGCAGCCACAATGTGAGGCCAAGCTTCCGCTCGGGTAACTGCATGTTGAGTGGTCTTGGGTAAGTTGCCTAATGTCTCTGTGCCTAGCTGTAAGTCACTTCAGTCAACCAACATCACTTCCTGCTTCTCATCACTGTGACCGGCCCTGTCCCTACGCCGGTCCCCCAGAGGGCCCTGGGCCAGATATGTACCCAGGCCTGGGAGGAGCGCCCTCTGTGCAGTCAGCACAGGGTCCAGTCCTACCCTCACCTCTCTCAGGGGTGTGGGATGCACAGCAAACCCCACCTGACCCAGCCTCAGCATCTGCAGGTGCAGGGGACCCCATGGGATGACAATGGCCAGGGCCCGGCACCTCTGAACAGCGTGTCTCCTTCCTGTGGTCCCCACCTGTCCCTGCTCTCCCATCTCAGGCCTGGCTCCCTCCCAGGGGGGCCCGGCCTTCAGTGGGCGCTGAGCAGCATCTCATGAATGGGCTCCTGACATGAGATCTGGGCCGCCTGCCTTCTGGGGTCCCCTGTGCCTTCAGGGCAGAAGGCAGGGCCTCCAGAGTGAGGACTCCTGGCTCCCCCTGGGCCTGTGGACCTGGGGAGCGGCCTTCCCTCACTCCAGGGCCCTATCCCTTCTCTCCCACGACTGCGCCGCAATGAGATGAGGCTGGCAGAGTGTGGGCCTGCGTGCAGCTGTGCATCCCTTTGTCCCTTCGCTGAGGAAGCAGGGCAAGGGAGCTGGCTCTGTGGAGCTGTTTCTGGCCTCTCCCTCCTAGGAGCCCCTCACAGGCAAGCTGGGCTCGGGGTACCAGCCAGGCTCCCTGGAGCCCATGGGGAGTTTGGGCTGGGGAGCTGCAGGAGAGGAGGTCCCACCCCTCCCAGGTATCCACGCAGCCTGCGCCTGTGCTTGTGCACAAAAAGCATCAGTAGGGCTTTGCACTAGTGACTTCCCTACTCTGGTGAGGCACCCACCACGTACCAGGCCAGTACCTTCCTAGACAGGCTCCATAAATGAGGAGGGAGGAGGGAGGGGGAGAGGCTGCAGCCCCTGCAAGCGCCTCCTGATCTTTGACTGCTCCGGGCCCTTCAGCAGCCCCAGCCCTAGCCGGGTCCCCAGGTTTTCAGTCTGCTGAAGGGTTTGGGCCTGATGCCCGCTCCTTTCTCCTCTGACCTCTGGGGAGTCCACAGGTCTGAGGAAGCGCCTCTCACAGATGTGCCAGTGGGTGGCAGGTGTGAGGACCAAGGAGCAGTCTTGGTCCCAGAACAGGCCTCCACGTGGTGGTGCGGGCCTGTAACCCCAGCAGTCTGGGAGGGTGAGGCAGGAGGATCCCAGAACAGCTCTCCTTCTATGTTCTCACCGTGGCTGCCCCACCCACACCCTGGAAGAGCCTTTAGATCTGGAGAGCAGCACTTGGCAGGGTCCTGGGGTATGGCAGGGCGGGCCTGCCTGGGAGGGTGGCAGGACCCTGTGAGAAGAAAGGCAGCTGTCAGCCACCACCCCTCCTCCACAGCTGCCTGAGGGGGAAGGGGGATGGGGAGAGCAGGAAGTCGCGACAGGTTCCACTTCCTGCCTCACCCAGAGAGAGGATGGTTTCAAGATCAGCCTGCGTAGCCTCCTCCCAAGATGGCTGGGTGGTCCCAAGAGGGACTGCTCACCTCCCGCCGCACACTCACTGGGAGAGGCTATGGAGAAGACAGGCAAAGACGGGCCCCGGGAGCAGCACCAGGGTCTGAGCAGACATCTTGCACTACTCCAGAGAGAGGCCCAGAGAGGCCCCGTAGCCTCCCTATGGACATGCACCTGATTAGCAATGGAGTCAGGAGTGGAGCCTAGGTGGTCCAACCCCAGAACTTAATTTGAAGAAGAACGCTCTGGTGAAACTCCTGGACACCTCAGATTCTAGCATTCCAAAATATCAAAGTTCATCAAGGTAAAGGAAACAGGGCCCAGAAAGGGCAAGACCCAGACCAGGTCACAGAGAGACCTGTCGTAGAGTGAGGACTGGGGCTCCCAGATGCAGAGGGCAATGGCCTTTCCCTAGGACTAAGGAATAAAAAGCCACCTTCAGGGGCGCCCAGCCCAGCCCAGTACCTTGGCCCCGAGGCGCAGCTGGTCGATGGTGTTCTCGGCCTCGGCATACTTGGTGAGGAGCTTGTGGTAGTCCTCCTGCAGGAGAAGAGAGCAGGGTGGTCATGCCAGGTATGCAGCGTGCCCCTTGCCTCTAGCTGCCCATTCTGGCTTCTTCAGAGTGAGAGCTTCTCGATGGAATTCTGGAGCAGAGCATCAGGCAGCTGGGCAAATCCTCTACTGCCTTTGCCAGGAGACTCTCCTGACCTCTGATAGGTTTTCCTTGAGGTACCACCCCCATGGCAGGGAACTTCCTTATCTGGCTTTATGGGGTATGATCACATCCACACTTCTCACTACACCTTTCTGACCGCTTATGCGGCATGTGCTTTAAAAGTATTTTTTAATGATTGAGTGTGAAGGCTCATGCTTGTAAGCCCAGCACCCAGGACGCTGAGGCAGGAGGATCATCATGAATTTGAGGCCAGCCTGGCCTACATAGTGAGTTCAAGGCCAACCTGAACTACATGGCAAGACCCTGTCTCAAAAAACCAAAGGGGAGGAAAAAAAAAAAAACAAACAAACCAAGAAGTATTTTCTAATGGCTGGCTGAGTGAATCACCCAAGAGCCCCTCGTTGGTTCTTCTACTCAGAATCACTTGCCTTAAACAAACCCAGAATTTTATTAAAACAAGTCATTCCAGGGAGACAGCCAATGCAAATGTTACTGGTCACCTTTGGATTTTTTTTTTTTTTTTGGTTTTTCTCTGGTACCGGGAACCAAACTCACGACCTTGCGCTTGCCAGGCAGGCGCTCTGCCGCTGAGCTAAATCCCCAGCCCCACTGGTCACCTTTAAAGGAGGTGGGTGAACTCACTCAGTGTTCCAGAAATGTGTAATTAAAAGGACATCGCACATCTCTCCTGGAGAGATGGACAAGACCTTGGTAACCAGAGTGATGCGGGAAGGTTTTATTTCTTGCAAGGTTAGTAGCAATGAAGGCAGGAGGAGTGACGTCAGAATACTGACACTTCATCACCCCAGCTGAAGGCTGGATCAACGCAATGAGCATCAGGGGCCGTGTGTAACCAAGAGCGCTGCATGGTCTGTACCTTCTCAACGGCCCACCTGTGGTATCTTTGGCCATTGCTGCCTCCCCCCGGAGCTCATGGTCCGGAGGGGAAAGAATCACACACACAGTTGGCCACAACCCAAAGGTGCGCTTGCTCTAAACCTACTGGGGGAAAAGGAGGAGAGGACAAGGTGACTGAGGGGCAGAACTGGTCTCAACAGTCCGTTACAGGAAGAGGTAAGAGGAGGACACACAGATTAAAAGAGATCAAAGAGAAGAAGAGCAAACCACCAAACCCAAACAAAAACATTAACACAACAAAAGAAAAGAGAAAGGGAGAGGAGAGACTTGAAAGGCACTCGGAGCAAATGGCCTGATGAGCCGCATTCAGATTCTGATGCAGAGGCGAACACACCCCTGATGAGACAGGCAGCCAAGATGTGAGTGCTCACCTGGTGTGAGATAATACAGTACTACAGAACTGGCGTTAGATACAATCACGTTACTGTGGCTATGCCTGAGATAAGGTCCTTATCACTAGACCCACTAAAATATAAAGTGATACAACACCTGAGATATTGCTTCAGAATAATCCAGTGGGGCCCAGGGAACAAGTCGGGCAGACAGGAAAGAGGCTGCCAGCGGCTGCTCAGCATGGGTGGGTGAAGCTGGGAACAGGGATGGGCAATCACTGTGCTATTTTCTATCCTAAATATGTTTGAATTTTTTTAAACAGAAGTTGGAAACAGAGCATCCTTGAGACCTGAGTCCAATCACGGCTTATTTTGGGTAAAGGCCTTGGGTTTGTCTCCTGGCTTCCGACAACCCTCCCTCCATCCACCAGCAGGGGGCTCCTGGCCTGGCCTAGACCCCAGGCCTCTCACCCTGGCCTGTCTCCATCCCAGGCCAACACACCCGGAGATGGGAGTCTGCTTACCTGGAGCTGATGGACCAGCTCTGTGGCTTGTTCAGGTGTCTGAAACTCCTGGGGCACCCTGGTGACGAGATGGGCAGGGGTTGCGTCCTTGGCCAGGGACGCCTCTCCACGGCTCAGCAGCACCTCTCGAACAATCTCGGCAGGTGACTTGAAGATCAGAGGTCCAGCAGAGCCCTGAGGCTGCCTGCTGTGGCTCTTGGACTTGGGGGGTTGGTAACTCTCATCTTTGGGGAACCTCACCCGGGGCCCCACCTTGGAGAAATCAGGGAGTGGGTAGTTCAGACGCCCCCGGCCATACTGGGGGGCATCAGAAGAGGAACGGCCAGCCAGAGTAGCCCCCTGCCTGGGCTGCAATCTCTCCTGGGCCGGCCTAGGCCGAGGATTCAGGGGGCTGCTGGAGCCGGTGAATCGGGAGGGCAGTGGCTTAGGTGATGTCTTTGTCCGCTTCCAGGTTTGGTCCTTGAGCTGCGAGCTGGGCAGGCTGGTAGGCTCTGTCCTCCATCTACCTGCATCGCGCTGGGGGCTCTGGGCTGGCAGAGCTGAGGTGCCCTGGAATTCCGTGGGTATCGCCTGGGCAACACCATCTCCAATTCTGTCATCTGAGTGTAGGAGGTGGGGGCTGGGGCTCCGTGGCAGGATTTCTGTCAGGGCAGTGGGTGCGGGGACATCAGTCTCTCCTTCCCAGGTAGATTCAAGGCTGTCACTAGGGTGGCCGAAACTCACAGTCCCACTGCTCCAGGACCTGGCCAAGCTGAGTTCCACAGCTGGGTTGACCTCAGAAGGTTCTGAAGGCTTGTTTCCATTGGCTGCTTTGCTAAAGGCCACCCAGCCTCTAGCCTGACCCCACCCCAGATCCATGAGGCTGGTGTTTCCAGTGTCCTCCGAGCTGGGGCCAGCCTTACACCCCAGCCTTGGAGAGCTCTCCCCAGCTTCAACCTTAGGACTTGCGGGGGCCACATCTGGCTCCTTTTTGGTCATGTCTGATTGATGGTCCTGCCAGGGGGGCCAGCTGAGAGGCAGGGGGGAACCTTCTGGGCTGTCCACATTTTCTGGGCTGTCCACATTTCCTGGGCTGTCCACATCTTCTGGGCTGTCCACATCTTCTAGGCTGTCCACATCTTCTGGGCTGTTCACATCCTCTGCTTCAATCTCTGGAAAGACAGGTCACTGATCGCTTAGCATGCACTGGGTCTGGACTCACTGTGCAACGTTACCCCAAGTCACCTCGACTCTTCGGCTTTCATTTCCTGCTCACATGACAAGGGCAAGAAGCACAAGGAGCCCTTGCATAGCCAAATACTTAGGCAATATCTCTTCTGTGCTCTCAAAGGGCCTTCCAACTCAAACCTCAAATCCGGTCTACCTCAGTGTCTCCCATCTCAGCAAATGACAGTGCCATTCGGCAGGATGGAAGTGTGGGAAGCGTTGTGGTCCTCTCACTCCAATTTGCCACCTGGCTCCGTCGTATTGCTGCTGACAGAGCTCTCCAACTCTCTCATTGCTCTGAGGCCCCCAACCCACCTTCACTCAAACCAGCATATTCTTGTGCCTGGACCACTTGCAGTAGCCACCTAACCTCCTCAGTCTGCACCCTCACCCTGCATCTGGAAACTCATCAGTATCTTCCTGCTGTTCCCAGGTCAGAAACCCAGCCTTTCCCATGGTCCTCCAGTCCCTGCCATTCTGACCCCATTAGCTCCATGAATCAGTCTCTCTCTGTGGTTCCCCTCAGTCTCTCCTTCCGCCAGCTGGTCACAAGCACACCTTCCCTCCCACAACCAGCACTGCGCACAGGCTCATCCCTCTGCCAGCAGCTGCACCCAGGAAACCCCATCTGTCCTTCATATACCAGCTTAATCTTGATCTCACCAAAGTCTTGGAGCTCCCTGACTAGGTCACATTCTCCCTTATATAGGCTCTCCCAGGACTGGAGACTTTGACTTTGTAGTGCTTATTACTGTGGCAGTGGTTCACTTGATTATTTCATTAATGTTTTGTCTACACCATGACACTGCAAGCTCTAGGAGGGTGAGGCCTTGCACTGGTTTGGTTCACTGTAGCATTTGCAGAGCAGGTGATCAATATTATAAAAAGAAGGAAAGTAGGATGGGAGGAAGATCTGCAAACTCCCAAGAAATGCAGTTATAATTGTTATGCAATATATGCTCAAGCAATGTTCACCAACCATCCATCTGCACAAGCATCCATCCATCCACCCACCCACCCATCCATCCATCCACCCACACACCCATCCATCCATCCATTCACCCATCCACCCATCCCATCCATCTATCTACCCACCCACCCATTCACCCATCCACCTACCCATCCATCCATCCACCTACCCACCCATTTACCCATCTATCCACCCATCCACTCACCCTTCTACCCACCCACCCACCCATCCACCCACACACCCATCCATCCATCTACCCAC